TTTTTTTGGCTAGAGCTGGGTTTGAACCCACCACCTCTGGTATATGGGGCCAGTGCCCTACCTACTCCTTTGAGCCACAGACGCTGCTCTACCTTGCTGTTTTGATCACTCTCGATTTATAGTATAGTCTGAGGTCTGGTAGTGTAATTCCTCTTGCTTTGTTTTTATTTCTGAGTAATGTCTTGGCTATTTGAGGTTTTTTCTGATTCCATATAAAACGAAGTATTATTTTTTTGAGGTCTTTAAAGTATGACAGTGGTGCTTTAATAGGGATTGCATTAAAATTGTATATTGCTTTGGGTAGTATGGGCATTTTAACAATGTTGATTCTTCCCAGCCATGAGCATGGTATGTTTTTCCATTTGTTAACATCTTCAGCTATTTCTCGGAGTTTCTCTGTTAACATTTTCTCTATTCCTTAGAGTATCATAGTTCTCTTTATAGAGATCTTTTACATCCTTTGTTAGGTAAACTCCCAAATATTTCATCTTCTTTGGCACTACTGTAAAAGGAATGGAGTCCTTGACTGTTTTTTTCCACTTGACTGTTGCTGGTACATATAAAGGCTACAGATTTGTGAGTATTGATTTTGTAACCCGAGACATTGCTGTATTCCTTGATCACTTCTAAGAGTTTTGTAGTTGAATCCCTGGGGTTTTCCAGATATACAATCACATCATCTGTGAAGAATAAAGGTTTGATCTCCTCTGACCCTATGTGGATACCCTTGATCACCTTTTCTTGCCTGATCACAATGGCTGAGACTTCCATTACAATGTTAAAAAGCAGTGGAGACAATGGGAAACCTTGCCATGGAAATTATCTGATGGAAATGATTTCAGTTTAACTCCATTCAATGTGATATTGGCGGTGGGTTTGCTGTAGATGGCCTCTATCAGTTTAAGAAATGTCCTTTCTATACCAATTTTGTTAGTGTTCTGATCATGAAAGGATGCTGGATATTATCAAAAGCTTTTTCTGCATCAATTGAGAGAATCATATGGTCTTTGTTTTTTAATTTTTTTATGTGATGAATTATATTTATAGATTTACATATATTGAACCAGCCTTGAGACCCTGGGATAAAACCCATTTGGTCATGGTGTATAATTTGTTTGATGTGTTGCTGGATTCTGTTTGCTAGGATCTTATTGAATATTTTTGCATCAATATTCATTAGAGATATTGGTCTATAATTTTCTTTTCT